AAGTAATCCTGGAAAGCTTCATTGGGATGTTGTCCAGAGATTGTGCTTAGTAGGTTCACAAGTAATCCTGGAAAGCTTCATTGGGATGTTGTCCAGAGATTGATGAGATACTTAAAAGGAACTACAGGTCTAGGCATTTTCTATACTGTATATCCGGTTGTAATCGAAGGCTATTCAGATGCGAGCTGGTGCTCAGAACTAGATGAGTGCAGATCTACTAGAGATTTTATCTTCACCATGGGTGAAGCTGCCGTCTCGTGGAAGTCTAAGAAGCAAACAATGACTGCACAGTCATCGATAAAATCTGAGTTCTTCGCACTCTGTGCTGCAGGAGATAAAGCTGAGTAGCTCAGTTGTATTCTCCGAGACCTTCCATTGATAGAATTGTAAGGTGTAATTACTATCTATTGTGATAATCAGGCGACCAGTGTTGTGGTAGCGAACTTGTTGTTCAATGAAAAGAAGCGTACCATTCGTCTGAAGCATGGCTATTTGAGAGAACTCATTTTCCAAGGAGTCATCTTTGTGATTGACATCCAGTCTTCAAATAAGGAGGCTGATCCTTTGACTAAATATCTGAAAAAGGACATAGTCGAAAGGACGTCTGCTAGAATGGGTCTCAAAATTTTGTGAGTCTTACAAATACTTACCATTTATATCAAGTTATTTGTTCAAAGCTTACGCTACTAATGATACGATGATTGGTTTAAAAGTCGAGTAAGATTTACAAAGTTTGGTGAGTCTTACAAATACTTACTATTTACATCAAGTTATTAGTTTAAAGCTTATGTTACTAATGACAAGATGATTGGTTCAAAAGTCAAGTAAGATTTACAAGTAAAATCCTATCATGATAAAGAGGATGGCTGGTAAGACATAATGAGTCCAAAGCATTTCGGATGCGGGATGTTGGATAGGTAACATGCCTAAAGGCTCACCGATGATCCTATCATGTAAAGGGGTTGGCTGTTAAGCCTTAATGAGTCTAAAACATTTCGAATACAGGGTGTTAGATAGGAAACATGCCTAAAGGACTCACCTAGAATCCTATCACGAGAGAGGATGGCTCTTAAGCCTTAATGAGTTCAAAGCATTTCGGATGCGGGATGTTTGATAGGAAACATTGCGATGTTCCTATCGATGTTTTGGAGGAGTAATCGGACTGCCGATCATCCTCTGTCTCAGCCGCTGGTTGGCGAGGAGGTACCCACTCCTTGTCCCTGGTTTGCCGGAGTAAGGGACGCTGGGTCCTCTTCTTCTTCTTCTTGTTCAGCAGTTGCTCCATCATCTCTCTTAGAGAGTCGATGGTCGCCTGCTGTTCCTCCAGCTTTTGGGCCATTGTTTGTTCGGTATCGAGCGCGGTCATGTGCACTCTCGCCTGCGCATCTTGACTTGAGCGCGAGGTCTGAGATGTGGTCGCTGCCGAATGAACCTCGTCTTCACCGCAGGAGGGAGGTACTAGGGTGGAATAGTCAAACCCAATACTTATTAATGAGTTCAAAGCATTTCGGATGCGGGATGTTTGATAGGAAACATGCCTAAAGAACTCATCTATGCATGGAGTGGAGATTTGGTCGTCTCCTATGGTGTCTTGTGGAAAGATGCCTAGAGTCCTAGCAGAAACCAGGACATGCACAGGGCCATAAATGTGCAAGGTAAAAGAAAAGACAAGTGTGGTTCAAAGTGAAAGCTACCACATATGAGTTTGATCTTGTGTGATCGTTGGATTTTAGACATGTGCTGGTTCAAGTTTCTGTGACACCATGCATCTATCTTTTATTCAGTTGGTCTAAGGGGGATTCAAGTTCTTGCGACATCTATCTTATGCACAACGATTGATACAACAACACCATTACACGATTGTGGGCCATGGGCCAGGAATCAGGGCTAATTGGGCTGAGGCGCTATGTGGCGCTTTATTAGGAGCACTTTGTACTTTTCACGGAGGCATCAGGACTAGGTGACACCATATTGGCTGCCACTATGGTCGCCACGGAGGCTGCTTTGCAGCATGCGGACGAACTATGCATTTGCACAAGGGTGTGACCCTAGCATTCTCGAAATCAGACGATGCTCCTCTGTTCGACGAGGTTCACCTGTTTGACGAGGTTTGCTTCGCTCGTTTGACGAGGTTCGTTCGTTTGACGAGGTTCACTCGTTCGATGAGGTTCGCCTGTTTGACGAGGTTCGCTCATTCGACGAGGTTCGCCTTTTTGATGAGATTCGCCCGTTCGACGAGGTTCGTCCTATAGATGATTTTCGTCTGATTTGCTGAGACGTGACCCGTAGTAACGCGTCCATTAATTGCTTCATATTCAGGAGTTAATGCATGCAGCAGTTATGACAGCATTTACATTAATTTAATAGATTGTTGTTACAATCATAATTGTCATTCTGATTTGTAACAGCCACATTAATTGAGGATGACTCTTGAGTTGGCCTTAGAGGCCTATAAATAGCGCCCTTTGGGCAGCTCTTGGTGAGAACTAAAAAAAACGAATGTCGGATCGAAGAGATCTTTAGGTTGTTGCTGTTGTTGTGTTGCTGCTGCAGAAACTATGCCCGAAGGAACTTGCCATGAAACCGAAAGGTTTTGAACCGAAAGGTTTTGAACCGAAAGGTTTTGAACCGAAAGGTTCTGAGATCGAGGAGACATTTGTCTTGACCGAAATGTCTTATAGATCGAGGAGATCTTGACAGTATTGGGTTGGTGCACACCAGATTACTGTACTGCTGTTCCTGGAAGCAGTTTGGCCTTCGGATCCTTGTACCAGAGTAGACCAAATATTGCTTTAAGCACAGCGTTTCACAAACGTACAGCAGTTAACTTAAAAAAGTTTAAAAATTACAACACATCAATTTTTACTATTTTATTCCAGATTTAACCACAATCTCTAACATAATTAACCCAAAATAGTTCAGAGGATATTTAGTTAAATAACTTCAGTTCCAATATAACGTTCAAAGAGTTCAGAGGGACAAAAATAGCAAAAATGTCACCCTTGAGGTAATTACATTAGTGATCACATACATCTGATTAGGGAAAACGATGATCTACTAACTGCACAAATTATTGTAAAGATGTGCGGAACTAGGCAGCGGTGCTGTAATGCAAGGATCTGCTAACAGCTTGGTCTCAACTCTTTTTTCTCCAAATTTTGCGACCTCTCCTCCAGTGTGCTGGAAGGGGCTTTTAAATGAAAGAAGGACAGCTTGACTTCTCCTTAAATTGTGGGATGTGACAACATTCTCTTCAGAGACGTCTCGCCGTTCCTCGATACCATGAATGGTCATTCTAGGGATTGTGCTTTATGTCCTGTCACCTACGATGGGAAGGCCCATTCTTGTATGTGAGGCAACGAATGACCCCCCAAAAAAAAAAAAAAAAAAAAAAAAACCAAAAAGCAAAATAAAGAAAGAAACCACTCCAGCACTCCAATGAACTTTCAACAATTTTCAATTAACCCTCAATAACTTTTAAAATCACACTAAACTCCCAATAACTATTAGATTGTAGAAAACCCTCAATAAGTTTTTGTATTTTTTAGATAGCCCCCCATTGACGACATCGGTCCTCATTTATGATCTAAACACGTAATTAACGCAAAATGTGGAATGAGCCCATCGTGGGGATGACCTACAAGATGCAAAAACTCATTGGGAGTTTTTCTTTTTCTTTTTTGCAATTTCAATAGTTATTGGTATTTGTGTGATTTTAGAAGTTATTGGGGGTTTACTATAAATTGTTGAAAGTTCTTGGGGGTTCAGTGAAGTGGATATACATGCATAATGTTCTTTAAGATTTCACCTGTATTTTTCAATTGGTAGAATATATGCTATTTCTTAGATTTTTCTTTAAACACTTACTCACCAAGTGTTAGGTCATACAAATTCAACACATCAGTTTGTTGCTTGAAATACAGATTCGCTCTGTTTGGAATAATATTTTATAGTTCCCAGTAAACATCGGTATAAGAAATATTTCGATATTACAATTGAAGGGTTTAAGAGGAATTGATGTAATAAACTCTCCCTTGTTGGGATAAATCATCATATATTCTTGTCCAACGTAGAATGCAATGCTTATTGATAAACCTCCGTCAAACCCTATGAACTAACACCAAACCTCCTCTTAATTAACTCTAACAACTAATAATCCTTTAAAACAACCCCATGGATGAGCAAATACATTCACCGACTCTCCTCCCCTTCAAGTCTTCCTCCCTCCAAATGCAAACTAGCAACCAGACCCTGTCTCTGACCCCTAAATGGAGCCCGAGGGTCAGAGACGGGGCGCGAAGCAATCTGTTCGATTCTATGGAACTAGATGCAGTCATTCGACAGCTGAATGGTGCACTGCGTGCTACGAGAAATGATAAAGTGACGTACGCTGAACCAAAGAATACAGAATATATGCAAAAGAGTGACAAGAAGCAGAAGAAATTCACCCATAATGATGGTGAAGGGCATAATTATGGTGAAGGGCATGTTCCGAGTTTCTGGAAGAGAATCAAGGGAGCAATTCTCGGAACAAAGAAATGATGAACTATGTGTATGTATGTTACTATGTGTATGTAGTATGATATATTTTGCAGCTCTGAAAAGCATGGATGATGTATAACTTCGACTATGAACTATATGCTCCAAGCTAAATGTAGATGAAAAATCATGCAGTTAAAAGATCATTTGCCAAGCCATCAAAAGATCAAGATTTTACTCTTAAGAAAAGATCTATGGCTTGCAATCCCATGGAATTTAGGCAAACGATTTTTAAATTGCATAAATTTTAATCTACAAACAGTTCGCAGCATGGAGATCATGGTCAAAGATATGAATCAAATGATTGGGCGTTCAGAAGTACAATGTAGAGCTCAAATTTCCTGTAGATAACAAACCATCACACACTGATACCATACTTCCGACATATCTTTTTGTTTGACTTAATCTTTGAGCAATGCATAATGTAACCACAAGAAAGAGAGAAAAAGACATGAAGAAAATGCTAGCAAAACTCACGATGTTCAACATCCATGTGCTTTTATATAGAGAAAAGCTATAATCTACAAGCATCAAAATCTACCATATTTACAAAGACTTGGCAAAATCAATGGGGCAAACATTAAAAAAGAATGCATTGTACAAAAACGATTTGAAGAGATTTCAAAGGATCAACTGCTCGTGTGTCCGATATTTGCATTGCGCAGAAATTCCATGTCCCAACGCAAACTTAGGTGCAAACTTATATCCATTTGTATATGAAGATAAAATATAGGACAGCCTGAGTGCCTCTTCCTGTGGACCAGGATAAGGCCTAGGTGAGCCTGAGTGCCATTTCCTGCAGTAGCGCTCGCTTCTGTGAAGCAGTAATGATTTTGTTGGTTTCTGCATTTTCAAGTACATCGGTGATTATGGCAGCAGCATGACCCAGTGGCTCCTCTGCTGCTCTCTTCAACATGAACGCCTGTGGAATAATACGAAGTGGGGAAAATAATAATACACAGCTTGCACCAAGTATACTGAGCTTGCATGCGCGCATGTGTGCCCGAATGCGAGTGCATGTGTGCGCATGCATGTGTAAGCCTCTATCTCTTTGCGGTGATGGCTCATTTTGCTAATGCGTATCAGATGGGTGGCTCATTTTGTTTCTCTGTTTGATGGCCCATTTTTGCTAAATACCAAGAAATACACATGTTGTAACATGTGAGGCACACCTTGCCAATCACATCGAATGAGTGAGTCTCAGCATCCTATCTCTTGGTAGCTCATTTAACAAAATGAGCCACCACCTCATAAGCATCAAAGCCGTGCATGTGTTTGTGTACGTTAGGGTGTAAAAGTGTGCATGCGTGTATTGAATTCAAGAGGATAGGACAGATAGCTAAACCTGGCCATGGTGGGATATTGCAAGTGTGCAAGGTTTCTGATGCCAAGGCTCTCCATCTACTTGGACGGGAAATGGAGCAAGAAGATGAATCTTTATGGATTGCCCTTGTGCCAGCCTCCGAGCTCGAGAAAGCCCGACCTAAATTAACCCCAAGAAAGAACATTAAAACCAAATATCTGATGCATAATATTCGATGAGTTAACAAATCCATCCACACTTAGTTGTATATTCTTATTAATATCTGAAAACTTTTGGCTGACTACCTGCAGCTTCCCTAGATGCCAGGTTCCGCTGATACTAACAACTTCGAGAACCTTATCATGCATGGACTGAGGATCAAAATTGTCATAGCTGTCATCCTCATTTTGCCATAGATCAACTCCTCCCATGTAACTACCGATGTTTGCAACAAGCACGCCTTCAGCATCCTGTAACATTATAGAAGTTAACCAAGTGAATGGTACGAAATCCACAAGTAGCACCAACAACAGGTTATAGTAGTTCTCATCAGTATCATTCAACTGATCAGTGGAGATGTTAGTAAAAGCACCACTTGCACAGAAAATGAGTATATCATAGCCGATTAGAAAATAAGGTTGATTGTGTATGGACACCTGTAGTCAGTATAGTTGTAGACAGACCTGCTGAGTGAAATTTTGACCCACTTGCACAGAAAATGACTATACACATCATAGCCGATTAGAAAATAAGGTTGATTGTTAATGGACACCTGTAGTCAGTATAGTTGTAGACAGACCTGCTGAGTGAAATTTTGACTCTTCTATCAACCTACCTACCTACCTACTTATATATATATATGAGATTAATGGGTATCCTTGACAAGGAGGGGATTCTCTCCTTGACAATGATGTGACACAATCCCCACCATGTGAAATTCTCTCCTAATTTATTCTCTCTCCTTCACATGGTGGGGATTGTGCCACATCATTGTCAAGGAGGAAAATCCCCTCCTTGTCAAGGATACCCATTAATATCTCTCTCTCTCTCTCTCTCTCTCTCTCTATATATATATATATATATATATATATATATATATATATATATATATATATATATACATGAAAAATCAATGAAAAATAATAATAATTCCACTCTGGGGCCTACCCGCAATTGATAGAACTATAAGAGGTCTATCCGCAATTGGGCTATAGTACAGGGGATCTATCCGCAACAATAGAACTATAGGGGATTTTTCCGTGAGCTATAGTACAGGGGTTCAATCCGCAATTAACCCTAGAAAAAACTCAATTTGGATTCCAAACTCAATCTTCACCTTGTTTTAGAGTTGGATTTTGGGAAACCTGAACCTGACTAGCAAATGGCATCAATTATACATAAATATACAACAGAAATCTGTATAGAGAAGGATCTACTTGTTTAATTGCTACATGTATGTTTCCTATTTGAAGGTTGTATACCGAAGTCAATATCAGAGATAAAAATGCCGGAAAATTTTTAAAATGAGATGGTTAGAAATTGAGACTTTTTTCTCTTAAGTTTTATCATTGTTCTAGATATTGGGAAATACAAACAATAAATTATTAACGTATCATTTTGGAGGGTCTGCTACTATAATATAGCAAAATAAGTCGGATGCATCATTTGGATCTCAGCTAATATTGGACATTAGTTGATATATCACCCTGATATACCTCTGTAAATATTTGTTAATATGGATCCTATAGCATTATGTTACGATTTGGATTTTACTAATGAATTGGTTTCAATTTTTAATTTAACTCGAAACTCAAAACACATTAACCAGTATGTTTCAACCACCCCGCCAAATAACCATCCATTTCCAAGTTCCCATTTCATTTTTCATTCTTCATTCTTCATTCTTCATTCTTCATTCTTCCTTGCTTCTTGTCCTATTCCTAGCGCCCCAAATCCAATCACTGCTGACATCAACCGACAAAGCAAACTTGCAATGACGCACAGACAAAGGAAAAAAGTTACTCATGAGAGATTATGAGCAAGCTCTAATTCAGATGTAGTCCTAAAAATGAAGACGGGATGGAAGTCTAACAGAAACAAGCCAAAACCACATATATCATAAACAGAGTTATTTTTCATTTTAAATCCACAGTTATTTTTCATTTTAAATCCAATCTTCTTTTGGGATACATTTTTAAACCCCGCACACATCCAAATTGATATATTGTTCCAAATAACGGAACCAAATAATTTTTAAACCTTGTTACATTTATTCCCCCATTTTTTAATACTGTATTTCAAAAGGAAAAAATTCCAAACTACCCCTTCCTTCTTACTTAAACACCAGGGAAGTAAAGTTCTATAACAAACTGCCCTCTCACTCATTAAAAAAAAGGAACCGACACTCCTTTCATAATCATGCCTCCCTTTACAGAATTCATATAATTTGTTGAGTTTCCTCTAATTTTCAGTTTAGAATTATGTGATAGGGTAACGATTCTTCGATATATTTAGTTGAAATACTTAGTTTCATAACTTGAGAGAATGCCTAGTGACGAGGAATGGAGAAGCGCTATAAAAGTTCCTCAAAATTTTCCCGATAAACAGTAAATGGGAACAGAAATGTCGGTGGACAGTACTCGTAAACAGTATCTTTTCTTAAAATAAAAGATGAATAAAGTAAGACAATTTGAGGTTAGATCAGTTTCACTCTTTGTAAGTTAATCCGGATTCACACGCAGATGCTTAAACCCTTTCGGCTTCACAACGAAAACCAATAGCTTCCACCTTAAAAAATCACACAAGATTTTCTTCAATTCAAACTTCCATAAATTCTTCATAGCCTCTCTATTGTGCATTAGAGAAATCTCTTCCCTCTTTTATAGGTTTAGAATTCTTACCTAAAACAAATTCAAAAGCTTATCCTATCTCTAAAACCAATTCAATCTTAACCATAAAATAATCCAGCAAACTCAATCTTAAAACACAACTCAAATCAAAACTAAACAAAATAACTAATTCTCACCTATCTACAACCAAAATCAAATCTAAAATCATAACAAACCTATCTTCAACGTGAATCAAATCCAAACAGTGAATGTGTCCTGCATCATGTAGCCTCTGGTTTATGCTTGCTTAGGGGCTTGCTTTCAGAATATTGGGACTGAATGACTAGCGTCTTTATTTCACCCGTCCAATTTCAAGTAATATATGTATGTTTTCATGTTACATGAGTCAACTAAAAAGTCAAACATTTCTCAATTTCATGATTTATTTTATCGCATTGAAGCCATCTTTGATTTTACAAAACGGGGAATAAGTAAGCTATCCCTATTAAGGTGATGATCATTTCCTGTGGACTATTGAGTGATTGCGGAAAGGTGTTTCTTTTGAAATTCTAGTTCAGTTTATTTTGTCAATTGATGCTACATGAACTGGTGTAATTAGCAGCTATAATTCGACAATTTAGGTTCATTTATTTTTGCAATTGTCAAAATGATACTGACACTATTTTCTTCTATGCTTTACAATAAAATACCTAAGATTCTCCAGAAATTAATTGGAATAAAGTTATTCAACAGATGATTCCAAAAGCCTTTAGAACCAGAAAGTTCCTTTCTTCCAAACTGATATGGCATTTGCAGTGATTACAATTGGATACCATCCATGTTAAAGGCGTCAATCAGTTATTTTCGTATCATCAGGGTAATCCATTTAGTAAACGGGTCAGGTATTTTGACCCATTTATTACACAGGTCGGTTTTGTGTCAAGCTTATGAGTCGTGTCAATTTTGACACAACTCGAAATTGTTGAATATCATATCTCCATGATATTATTTTGATGATAACAATTTATACAATGTGTGTTATACAAATGCACTAACTTTTATATGCAGATTTCAATATCAAAATATTAACAAGTGCAAGTTGAGTTCAAAGCAATATGAAGTGAAGAAGATGAAGAACATATGAGATAATGTATTTTACATTTTTTTTACTTAGAATTATTGTACAAGCCTTGATCACTCACACCCACACACACATAAATATTAGAACACACTAACACAAGCTTAGTGTGTTGGTTAACTATAGAAATCCCCTATGTTAACCATTAGAGTTATAGTTAATTCTTGAGTATAAAAACATTTAGTTCATATTTTTTACTCTTAGTAGTCGACTAATTAGAATAGTAGTCGACTACTCATGTATATGACTTAAAATATAAGTTTCTGTTATTTTACAGTATAGTCGACTAATTGACATTATAGTCGACTACTCAAGCTTATGACAGAAATATAAGTTTCTGATATTTTACAGTATAGTCGACTAATTAACATTATAGTTGACTACTGAAGGCAAAATTTATTTTTTAAGTTTCTGTCAAATTACAGTATAGTCGACTAATTAACTTTATAGCCGACTACTGAGAAATTTTCTGAATTCACAGAGTTTGTTTAAACTCAGTGTAGTCGACTAATCTGTCTTGTAGTCAACTACAGAAATAGTTTTTTCAAAATTTAAAGTTTGAATTTATGACTGTTTATAGCCGTTTTTAAACGTTTTTAAAGTTCAAAAAATTGTCTTTTCAAGGACTATAAATAGGTTATTTGTTCAAAAAAAATACAGAGATTTACATACCCATAAGCTTTGATCTTTGTGCATTTTTTTAAGTGAAATATTTAGATTTTGAGAAAAAAAAAGTTTCTGAAGTTGCCTTTGAACATCATTCAAATACTTATTGTTTAGGCAAATTTACAGAAGTTAGAATCATTCCTAAGCCACTACTACACTACACTACAAATCAAGGCTTATAGGAATTGAAATTGTTGCTTCAAAAGTTCTCTCGATTTGTGAGAGGTGTTAATCTCTTGGTTTAGAGATTGGTGTGCAAATTGGCAAGGTGTTTGTCAATTGGTGTTGCAATTTACAATGACTTGCAAATTGGTCAGGTTTGCTTTTGATTTTGTAAGTTTATTCAAAATCAGAGTGGAAACTCTCAAGCGGGATTTGCTTGGGGACTGGATGTACACCGGATTGGTGGAACCAGTATAAAACTTTGTGTTTGTGTTTGTAAATTTCTAAGATTGTCATTTTTCTTTGTAATTTATAATCTACTTTGCATAAATTTTAAAAGAACAATATTCACCCCCCCTCTAGTGTTCTAGTGTATCGATTTCAGATCCTACATTTGGTATCAGAGCAAGGTGAAAGATGGCGTCGACAAATACATCACAATTCAAAGAAGGTCACTCTACAAATCGTCCACCAATGTTCGATGGTTTGAACTACAACTATTGAAAGTGCCGAATGAAGATTTACCTTCAATCAATTGGCTACGAACTTTGGAACGTTGTGGAAACGAAATATGAGAAGCCAACAACTCTATTTTCAGAATGGACTACTTCACAAAGAAATAATGCAAATTTGGATTCAAAAGCAATGAACGCATTGTTTTGTGCACTTGACAAGA